TGCATTGGATTTTATAGGAATCTGTATTAAACTTGGATTGCCTACTTGATTTTTCTTTCTTCAAAATGATCCATGTCTATTAGAAGTTTATGAATTTTTTTAGAAATTTGGGGTATCAAAAGACGTATATTCAAATAAAATACCTCGGCTACTTTACTTTAAAAAGTACACATTTTTTAGCTTTCAAGCTAAATTCTTATGTAAAATTCTAATCAAGAAATTTTGTTAATTCGTATTCATAGAATCTCTCAATTTTTCTAAGTAGCATAGATAATTATACACGATGGTTATTTTGAATATTACTTATACATTCTCAAAACAGATGAAAGAGGTGCCCAGAACCGTATTGCGTTCTGTCAATTCTTGCTGAATGAAATAGATGCTGATCCAGGCTTTATGGATCGAATTCTCTGGACTGACGAATCAACATACGTACGGAAGGGAATGTTTAATCAGCACAATGAGCATCAGTGGGCTCATGAAAATCCGCATGTGGCTCGGGAAGGTAAGTGTTTTGAATAGTTAAAGACCCCATATTCCAAAAAAATTCAATCTCATGAAAATTTTCCTATGCGTGTGCGTCTTCTATTGAAAGAAAATTTATTTTTAGGATACGCTTAATAATAAACATTTTTTAAGCATTTTTCAAACACTTTTTCTATACCCCCTGCACGAAGACGCGACTCTGCGCACACTTCAAAAAGCAATGGTACTCCAAGTCGCATCTTTGCGTTCAGAAAACCGAAAATGTTAAAAAGATATATCTAAAAATGTATATTATTACGAGTATAATAAAAATATACTTTCTTTCAATAATACACGCACACACATAGGGAAATTTTAATCGGATCAGCAGTTTATTTTGGAATACGGGGTCTCCGTACCGGGATCCGGCCGTGAATTTGTCATTGGGTGCGTTAGTTATGATTTATAAAAAAAAAATTCTACGATCTCTAGCGATTGACAAAAAAATTTTTCTTTATCGAATTAAAATTTGTATTTATAGGTCTATAAACAATTATTAATGAAAACGTTATTTACTTTATTATTAATGAAAACAATTTATCCACATAGAGGTCCGTTTGGTGGGTGAATATATTAAATAAATATAGCGATGATTTAAGTGTAAAGGAAAACTTGATGTTTTATTAAAAGTAGACTAACTACTACTAATACTTAATAGTAGAGACTTAGTCTACGCAAAGACCGCGCATCTCGCAGAGAATAGAGATGTAAGCGTGTCGGCAGTTCTAGCGTGAGTGACGATTCACTCGTCATACCTCAGCGAAAACGCTTCCCTTGGGCATCGGGGGAAGGTAAGTCCCACCCACGAAGTCCGTGAAAAGGCTAGCTGAGGACGAACGGGAAAGCAGGATGATGAGACGTGTTTTGTCGCTAACAACAAGGGATTAGCGAGAGCGCAAAGCAATTTTCATTTATTGCGGGAGCGCCATAAAAATCGAAATTCGGCGCTGCAGTTAAGCGGCAGCCGCGCGACAGCTGAACTAAATTATTTTATTGATGCTGGGGAAAAACTGAAAGTTTTAACCAAGTAGATCAACAGATAAAGCACGTCCGCCACACACCCCCTTACCAGTGATAACGCTACATATGCAAATAGAGAAAAAAAAATAATATACATGAAAGATACATAAAGATACATCAGCGCATATATAAGAAAATAAGAGAAGGAAGAACAAAAAAAAAATGTATAAACGTATAATGAGCTTAGCCTACTTAAATCCAGCTTGACAATATCGCTGTTACATTCCATTATAATGTCATAATCGTCGTCGTCTTCGGTGCGCCGTTGTTCGTTTCCAACAAATTTTTCTACGTCGCTACTTACAGTGAAAAGGGGCCGGAGTCTATCGATAGATAGACCTTTTTACCATTAATATCAATTAAGAAGAATTTATCATTGCGATCTATGACTTTATATGGGCCGTCGTAGGTAGTTTCCGACGGGCCGCGGACGGCGTCGTTACGTAGAAAAACATACGACGAAGTTGACAATTCTTTAAAAATAAATACTTTTTTCTCGCCGTGTCCACGTAAGGGTGAAGGTTTAACATCATTGACGCGTTTTTTCAGGTTATCGACGAAACTAGATGATGGATTTTGATCAATGTTCGTTGTGAAAAATTCCGCTGGAAGGCGTAAACCAGCGTCGTAAACAAGCTCGGCTGCCATAGCTCCCAGATTTTCCTTAATGGTACAACGGATGCCAAGTAACACAATCGGTAAAACGGATACCCAATCGTCGGCGTCGTGGCATTTGATAGCGGCTTTAAGTTGTCTATGGAGCCTTTCTACCAGACCGTTGCTTTGCGGGTGATAACTTGTCGTACAAATGCGCTTCGTACCTAACAATTTACATAATTCAGCAAATAGTGCGGATTCGAATTGGCGTCCTTGATCGGTTGTAATACGCGCGGGAACGCCAAAGCGAGCGATCCAGGTCAACAGCAAAGCTTTCGCGACAGTAGAGGCTTCCATATCGGTCATAGAAATAAGTTCGGGCCAGCGAGTAAAGCGATTGATGCACGTGAAACAGTATCGAAAACCTTGACTCATTGTAATAATGTCGATGTGAATGTGCTCAAATCGATTAGCTAATTGCTCAAATTGTTGAACGGGCGCGGAAACGTGTCGAGTAACTTTGCATTGCTGGCACGAAACGCAGGCACGCGTCCATGCTTTACAATCTTTGGTCATCGACGGCCAAACAAAACGTGAAGTGACGAGCTTCTGAGTAGCGTGCATAACTGGATGAGATAGACTGTGTAGAGAATTAAACACGGCACGGCGCAGAGACGCAGGTACTAAGGGTCGTACGGCATCGGTCGCAACATCGCAGTATAAATGCACGTTTTGTTCCGTTTTTGAGTTTAAGTACGTATTTTTCTGAATTGAGGAACTCGCATAGTTCTGGATCGGCTTTTTAAGCGGAAGCAAGTGAGTCGTAATCTACTGATGATGCAATTGTTTCAACGCGTGATAATGCATCGGCTACCACGTTTTCCTCGCCTTTAATGTGCTTAATATCAGTAGTAAATTGTGAAATGTAGTCGAGATGTCTAAATTGACGCGGAGATCATTTATCTAAATTCTGACGAAAAGCAAAAGTTATCGGTTTATGATCAGTAAAAATCGTGAACGGTCTACCTTCAACCATGTGTCGAAAACGTTTAACGGAGCGATAGATAGCATATAACTCACGATCATACGCGCTGTACTTACGTTCGATTGACGTTAATGATTTAGTGTAGAAAGCGAGTGGTTGCCAAGCATTATTCACGAGTTGCTGCAGTGCACGGCCGATAGCAAAGTCCGAAGCGTCGACGACAATACTAATGGGCGCACTAGGTGCGGGGTGCGCGAGCAGAGCGGCGTTCGTGAGAGCGCTTTTCGAATTCGTAAAAGCGGCGCGTGCTTCTTCGGTTCACTTGACGGGCTCATTGCCTTTTTTTGATCCTTTGCCTTTTTTCGATCCTTTCCAGAGATCGTTCAAAAGTTGCAAGATTTCTGCAGCGCGAGGAACAAGTCTTCGATAAAAATTGAACATTCCGAGATAACGACGTAAACCTCTAATAGAATTTGGCAAAGTAAATTTCAAAATATCATTAACGCGTTCTTTCATTGGCTTAATGCCTTCAGCGTTGACCGAATAACCGAGAAAAGTGATTTCGCTTACTCCGAAAACACACTTTCCAACGTTAATTACGACGCCGTATTTCAAAAAGCGATCGAATAAAACCTTAAGATGCTCAAAGTGTAGTTCCTCGTCTTCAGACGCGATCAAAAAATCGTCGATGTACGGGTATACAAAGTCTAATCCGCGAACGCTTTCGTCGACGAAACGCTGACATGTTTGTGCTGCATTACTTAACCCGAACATCATCATCATAGACCAAAAGGTTATGTTACAAGCGCGGCTTTTTCGATATCCTCGGGCGCTATAGGTATTTGATTAAAAGCACGGATTAAATCAACTTTCGAAAATACCTTCTTCCCATGGAGATTTTGCGCGAAATCTTCGATGTGCGGTGGGATATATCTGTCGGGGATGGTGCGCGCGTTGAGAGCGCGGTAGTCGCCACACGGTCGTAGGCCTCCATCCTTCTTGGCTACGACGTGGATAGGCGTTGACCAAAGGCTCTTGGAAGGCCGTATTACTTCCTGCTGCAGCCACACGTCGAATTCAGCCTTAACTGCCTTCAGACGGTCGGTGTCGAGACGAGGAGGCTTGGCGTGTATAGGTGGGCCGGGCGTGGTCTTTATGTGATGCTGGACTCGACGCTTAATTAATCCTTTACGAAAGATCGGCGGTCGCGTCAAGTCCAGATATTTTGCAACGAGCTTATAGTACTTCGATTCACCGATCACAGTTTTTACGGAGGCTATCTCGTTACCATTGCTGGCGCATCCACGCGTTGATAAGCCGGTTGTTTTATCGATCAAAGTCTTATTTTTCGGATCTATTAATAAACCGAAGTGCGACAAAAAGTCTAGGCCGATTATCGCAGCACTTAGATCGGCAATAATGAAAGGCCACTTGAACTCGCGACGTAGAGACAAGTCCAAGTTGAAAGGCACACACCCGTAAGTATTGATTTTTGATCCGTTCGCCGCGAAAAGTTGGTACTTACTTAATTTCACCTTCTTAGACAACCATTTTCCCGGGTACACGCACACATCAGCACCGGTGTCGATGAGGAAAAATCTGTTTATGTTAAAGTCTTTGACGTAAACTCGGCCTTGCGTGCAGCCGTCGGTGCTCGCCATGTTCAATGACGGCGCGCATCGTTTTCCGTCCACGTGCAACCTCTGCGGCATTTAGTTTCATTCTCTTTAAATTTTCGGTGGTAGTAGCAGAGTCGGTCGTTTGCACCGGGTGCTGGCGTATTGTCGCGTTTGTTTCCGATCTGCTGCTCGCCGCGTGTACGTGATCGGCTAAGACCATGTCCTTGTGCTATTGCGTTTACTTGCATAGCCAACTACTTGATCTGCTCAGACAGTGCAGAATAATCATCGACAGCGTTGACCTGTTTGCTCGTCGTGTGTTTCACTTCATGCACAGCGTCGGCGAGCTTCAAAATCTTCGCCACGTCCGTCTCGCTAGAAGCTGCTAAGACTGTCTGCAACTGCAACGGCAAGCGCGTTTTCCATACCTGTATGATGAAGTCTTCGGTAGTGTTTGAGGTGGCAAGCGACTTGCGACTGCGAAAAAACTCGGAAGGCTTTCTATCACCCATCTGCTCGCTTTCCATAAGCCTACGGACTCGCCAACTGTCAGACTCGGTGAGACGATCGATCATTTTCGTTTTGACGTTTGTGTACCTGTTTTCACCCGGCGACGACTTCAGGATATCTTCGACTTGATCAATAGCTTTTTCAGTCAAACTCGAGAGGGTATGACAATACTTGAGGTTGTCATCTGTGATAGAGCAGGAGACAAACTGTGCCTCGAGTACCAAAACCACATTTCAATTTTGTTCTCCATAAATGGCGGCGCACGAAAGTGTTGTGCTGCGTGCACATTCACTACTTGTCCGGAAATACCACCGCCTTCGACACCGTTGGTCAAAGTCATTTTCACAAGCGTTGATTACACTATACACAAACACTGAACGATCACGAACAATTTTACGTAAAAGTTTTCATTTCACCGCGTTCACCCTTTCAAATCACGTCGGGGTCACCAATTGAGGTCCGTTTGGTGGGTGAATATATTAAATAAATATAGCGATGATTTAAGTGTAAAGGAAAACTTGATGTTTTATTAAAAGTAGACTAACTACTACAAATACTTAATAGTAGAGACTTAGTCTACGCAAAGACCGCGCATCTCGCAGAGAGTAGAGATGTAAGCGTGTCGGCAGTTCTAGCGCGAGTGACGATTCACTCGTCATACCTCAGCGAAAACGCTTCCCTTGGGCATCGGGGGAAGGTAAGTCCCACCCACGGAGTCCGTGAAAAGGGTAGCTGAGGACCAAGGGGAAAGCAGGGTGATGAGACGTGTTTTATCGCTAACAACAAGGGATTAGCGAGAGCGCAAAGCAATTTTCATTTATTGCGGGCGCGCCATAAAAATCGAAATTCGGCGCGGCAGTTAAGCGACAGCCGTGCGACAGCTGAACTAAATTATTTTATTGATGCTGGGGAAAAACTGAAAGTTTTAACCAAGTAGATCAACAGATAAAGCACGTCCGCCACACACATTTAAACAATGGGACGATAAAGTCAAAACTGATTCACAGTTCATACATTATTATGAGTATTAATCTAAATCACGAAGAAAATGTAGTTCGAATATGCATCTATAAGTGCGAAAGACTATTTAAGAGCAATAATTTTTTGTGAAGCGAGATGTTCATTCGCTGTTTTTAAAAATTATCATGCACTGATACTCTATTTCGTAGTACGAATGTATACAATTCCTCGCGTATTTTTCAGTCAAATTTTCCTTTAATAGCCTTAAGATTGTGGGCACGTAGAAGAGAAAAAACGAAATAGAACAAATGCAATCATAAAAGATCAAAATACTAACATAAATATTACTTTTTGTAAATAATATAGTTAAATTATCAAACTGTAATTCTTTGTACGGTATTACTCGCTTCGCTCACGTTGTCTCAAAAAACACAATACGACATATGCGTGGATAGGAGACGTCTTGCGTCGCCAAACATCTATCAAAATGTGCTATAAACTGAAAAATTTATAAATTTTGTTCATTATTTCCAGATCGATTTCAAAATCGGTTTTCAGTCAATATGTGGACAGGCTTGATTGGTAATCAAGTTATTGGTCCGGTACAACTTCCAAACCCACTAAACGCTGAAAATTACCTTGAGTTCCTGCAGGATATACTTCCAGGATTGCTTGATGAAGATGGTGTGCCAGAAGAACTGCAAGAAAATCGTATTTTCATGCATGACGGTGCACCAGCACATACTGCTGCGAATGTAAGGAATTATCTTGATCAGGTAATTATTATAGTATACATTGTTGTTGGAAATATGTAAAAGTATCTCACCTATTTTGCTCTGCGCATGTACGTGACTACACGTCTAGCTCTCTCTTGGCGGCTAGCGGCGTTGCCGCTCAATTCGTTCTAGTCTGTGCCGTGACGCGGACGCCAAGGGCTTTCTCTCGAATAAAGCATTTCTTTTCTACAACTGTTTATTCACTTATTCTGCCTGCTTTACCCTTCCTTACCAAAAATTGTATTACGCGATTTCTCCTAATGAAAGTCTTAACGCTCTGAAATTTCATGTAGGATAATTTTGTCGTGGCTTTATGCCAATTATTTGCTAAAGGGAATATTGCTCTGACTTGAAAGGAAATTTAATTACTCTCTTTAATAATCTTTAATTACTTTTATATTATTCTTTATAAAAATATAAAAGTCGTTCTAGGACAGATAGCCTTATGAAAATTTTCTACTTTGTATCATACTTGACGAGTTTTATTTCCGTCGCTCAAAGATTCTCAAATCTCAATTAAAATCCGCTCTCCTCCTCTTTCCCTTTTATTTCAACTCTACTTTGAGATTATACCCCAAAATGTCCAAAATGAAATGTCCAACCCAAAATGTGCAAAGGAAAATGCCCACAGAAAATAATGTCCACAAGTCAAATGTCCACAATTGATATGTCAAATATGTCCAAATTTTATTCACGTATTAAGATGGTGACCAATTATTTTGAGATATTCCAATTCATTTTCTTCGTCGACATAACTTTGATATGCGGCAACGACGGCGGCAATACGTTCTTCGGCTCGAAGTTGGCTGCTTTTAGGCAATTTTTTCACTTTTTTACCCAAACTTATTTCCCGCGACATATACTCAACGTCAGCCTGTTCTTTCTGGATCTCCGTAAGAAAACTGTAGAGGCTCGGATGACGGCGACCAACTAATATTTGGAAGCGGTTATGCCAGCCCTCGGAAGCATTATTTGTCCGCGCAACTCCTTGAAGAACAGAGTTGTACTGATTCCATAGGGCTGGCGCGTACCGAACTCTTACTGCTTTTCTCCGGCCAATTGCTCGAATACCTCGGACGTAATTAATTTCAAAGTATGTAGCTATTGGAATAAACTCTTCTGGCATTTCATTTTGAAAGAGGTCGAATATCTCTGGCACATTGTCTGGGGGCACGTAGGCTAAGGCACACATGGAATGCGCAGCTTCTCGAATACTATTGTCATTCGGATCGCCGTACTGTTGCTGTAGACCTTCAGATTGTATTTTCCGGTATATGCTTTGACGAAGATGAAAGAAGCACAGTCGAATTATATTTTCACCGAAATGATTTTTCACAGCGTTAATTATCGCCAGCTCGAAATCAGTCATTACAATCTGAGGATGACGTATTCGTATACCGGCCTCTTCAGCAGCGGAGAGAGTAACTTCTATGACTTTGGAGTATGCTATTTCTTTTTTATTTTCCAAGAGTGCGTAGACTAATGGTATAGCGATTTTACGTTCAGTGCCTTTGTAAGTTTGGGTAACTGAACCCATTATAGTAAAAAGCTGGAAGAAAATCGATGGTACAGTGTCGAACGTACCATCTAGGAACCAAATTGTTGAGCTGAACAGCAATCGTAAATTTTCGCGCGTTGCGAACACTAATATTCTGTCCGAATTGTAATCCTCGTCTGTATGAGAGTCATACATCAGGAAAGTATCTCCAACGAGCGTTTTTGTAAAAGTTTCAGGTATATCTTAAATGTTATACTTTATAATAAATGTATAGCTGCAGGAGATGGTATGTAAAAAGATATGTTGACTCTTATACCTTTTATGTCTTCTATGGTAGTGGGATTAGACGGTAGATGCAGTAAACGTTCGCGCTGTATAGTTTTTTTAATGTTGCCAATGTCAGGTAAACGAGCTTGCACAGCTTCATTACAATCCTGTGCTTCTCGCGTTATAGCAGAAGGAGGACGAGCACGGTCACTTATAGCCGAACGCTGTTATATCAGCTAAAATTATTTCTATTCAATGTAGAAAAATATAGAGTGGTACCTTAATATTTCCCATAATGCGCACAGATTCGACTTCTTCGGGATTAGGTTCATGAGTGTGAGAGTTTGCCGACCCACCTCTCCGAATCAAAACACTGCGACCCGTGCTGACGGTAGTCAAACGCGCGGCGCATTGACCTCGATATCGACACTTCCAATATTTTACATCACCTTTGGAAGTCGATGCAGAGTATAAGAAACCGTCAATGTGTCCATAAGTAGAAGACCCTTTCTTAATTATTTCTAATGTACGATATGCCATTGTCGAGGTTCAACGAAAATTTTGAAAAATCATGAGTGAGAGTGTACACAAATGTTAACACATGTAAGATATGAAAGGTTATGGTGAATGAAAAAAACGCTATCGGGAAAACAATCGAAAGCAAAAAACTAATGAAATACATATTTTTATTTTGGACAATAAATAACTGTGGACATTTTGGCTTGGACATTTTAGTTTGGACATTATGGGGAGATACCCTACTTTGAATATAAAATTTTTTAATCTCTACGTATGCTGCCAGTATTTTGATTACTCGTACTATTTCAGTCTACAGAAGTTTTAAAACCAACACGGCTTCATTAGTATACTTCGGGAAGCATGTGAGAGTGTATTCACAGTACAGCGCTAGAAACCAAATATGTATATGTCTGTACATGCACCTGCATGTACAACTATCGGCTAGAAAAATTATTGGTTTCATAACAAATTTTACGCAGGTATATTAAAATCGCTTATAAAATATTTTAATTCTTCAAGGTTTATGGCGGCCATTGGATAGGCAATAATGGTCCAGTGCGCTGGCTAGCAAGATCTCCTGATCTGAACCCATTGGACTACTTTTACTGGAGGACATCCAAAGAAGCAGTTTATCACAATGGCGGCCTCAATGACCCAAATGACATGATACAAAGAATCCAACATCACGCCCAGCATCTAGAACCCGAAAAAATACATGCATCTACACATCAGATAAGACGTAGAGCTATTTTGTGTATTCAGCAACAGGGGGGCATTTCGAACAATGCTTGGATGGTGATGATGGTGACGATGGTGGTAATGGTGATGATGGATGTTGTTGAGGAGGAGAACGAGAATGGTGATGATATTGATGTTGATGGCAATGATGAAAATGGAGAAGATGATGATGATGATATGAACAACGATGGTGAAAATGTTGGCAGCGAAGACGGTGAGGCTGATGATAGTATGGATGAAGATGATGACGACGTTGGCAACGATCCGGATTGGGAGATATGAATTTACATGTTTTTTATATTTTTTCTTTTCTACTAAGGTTTTACTAAAAACTAGTCAGCCTAATAGTAGACGAAATTCGAATAATTCGATAAAACGTTATACTCTGTGTAAATAAAGATGATTTGTTATATAAATCTGTTTTTTCAATCATCTCCCTTAGCTGTTTTGGTTGTTTTCAATACGGGCCTCAATTATTTAAATTTTCATACACCACTGAGTTCATCACAAACAGTTATGGATAAGTGGACTTATGAAAAATTTTTTCTAGAATTGAGGTAATTAGATAAATAATTAAAAAGA